CCCCATAAAGCCAAAGCGCCAGGTGAGTATCGGCTATCCCTTCTCCATTTCGGCCCGTGCAGAGCAGCCCGACTCTCAGCCGGGGGGGCTTCCTTGAAGCCCGGGGATCCACCTAATGTAGGAACCTGATTAAGAAACCCTGGGCCTAAAACCCCAAGATACTACGATTCACAAAAGGAACCCTAATAAAGGCCCAGGGTTTCTTAATCAGGTTCCTACATTAGGGATCCCAAACCTGCTGCTTTAAAGGACTGTAGGGGTCGTGACCTAGCTTATTTGTGGGGTTTGGGGCTACCCTGCACTCGCAATCTTCGGCAAGGATTTCGGAGTTTGGTTCTAAGAATATTGAGTTCCTGCTTTTGAGGGTCTTCCATGTGAGGTTTTGGGAACATGAAGGACCCCAACAGAAGGACAACAAAGCCCTAAGCCTAAACCCTGAACCCTACACCGTACAAGCGAACCCCGAATAGAAGTGACCCTCATCACAGTTCCTACTGAGGACGAAGGGCCGCGTGGGCATCCAAGCGCCGCCGGGGTAGGGGCCCGAGTGGCATCACATGTTCGGGTTTAAGGGCTTCAGGGACCAGGGCTTAGGCATTTAAGGACTTCGGTCTGTAAGGTTGGGGAGCTCCAGGGGTAAGAGACTGCAGGAGCATCGGCAGCAAGTATCGTTCTTTTGGGTTCAGCAAGCGCTAAAGCCGACACCCTTTCTTCTCACGAAAAAGTACGTCCTACAAGGGGGGTCATTGAGCCCAAGGCTCGATGCGCAATCCTTTATCTGACGACTGCTCAGCCCTGTAAACCTTAAACTCTAAATGGGCGGTTTCCGAAAATTGGGGGCACCTTATTTGGGGGTCCTTGTAATAAGGATCCCACTATTTAGGGTACCATATCAGGGTCCCCCATTTTCGAAACTACCAAATCCCCAACGCCAAATCCCAAATCCTTTAGGGTTATAGCGCTTAGACCTGGTGACCCTGACCAGGAAATCAAATTCCAGGGCTTTTTTCGGGCTTAGAGCTTAGAGGGTAGGGTTTGATATCCAGTTCCTATTAGGTGGTTTTTAGAAGTTACAGTCGTTCTCGTCATTACAACACCTCACTTAGATTCAAAACTGGAGTCCTAGAACTTGAACTCTAGGCCCTCCCACAACTCCCAGAACACGGGCGCACAGGCGGTTAAGGTTGGGGTCCGACAGAGCACAGCATAATGTGGAATCCTTGAAGGGGATACCGGGACACTCCACCCTACCAAGGCTCGCCCGAGGGAATCCCTTCCACCGATTTCTGACCCAAGGGTAGGGTTTAGGGTTTAGGGTTTAGGGTGTACGGTCTAGTCAGTTGCTCTGTTGTGCCCTCGTCGCCCATTTCGCTTCAACCCCCAAGCCAATCTCCATGCCCCAATGGAGCCTCTGCCCTGAGCATTCACAGAACGCCACTAGGTCTGGGTTGGACGATTCAAGGCAGGCGGCATTAAGGAAAAAGGGGCTGTCCTGTCCGGCTGAAGTTTGAGGGTTTTTGTTTTGCCCAAAGCCCTGAAGCTTATTGTTTTTTTGAAGCCCTAAGCCGGACACCCGGCACACTATCGGGTTTAGGCTTAGGGTCAATGAATCATCGGATTTCGCGGTTGGGGTTTGGAGTCGGCAGGTTCCGAGCCAGAGTTTTCGGAGGCTCGAAGGTGCCAGAGGTCTCAGGTTTGGGGTTTAGGGTTTGTTAATTCGAAACATGCAGACAATCCATGAAGCCAAAGCACACTCAACACTCATACGCTTGCTTTACCACAAACAACCTAGGCCCCAAACCCTGAGCCCCAAATTGGCGTCCAAAGCCCACTCTCCGCACTCCTTTAAACCCCGACAACAGCCCGCACGAGCTTCTGGTGGGCAGCTATTGTCCCTCTGATGTTCAGCATGCATAGTAATCATTATCGTTGTCACCGCCGATCTTTGACATGAGGTGGTGGGCGTCTTCGTCAATTTTTCTCCGTCGCCAGTAGTATCGTTTTTTCGCATCGTAGGTATGGTGCCCCGTCCCAACCCTCGTAGATCTCAGGACCCTAAACCGAATCTCCCATCCTACATCCTTAAGCACGTAAGTCATGATGTCTGTTTAAATTCCTGAACTCAACCTTTTTTGCTAAATTGTTGAACCGTTAAGCCTTACGTCTTGAAATACGTAAACCGTTTGACTCCTGAACCCCATCCTCAAGTCCCATAAATACTGCAGCCTATGAACGAGAGCCCCGGACAGACGCCAGAGTCCACCGGACAGTTCAGAAGCCAGCCACGAGAGTCCCGGTTCCAGAGCCCGCTGGACACTCGCAGAAGCCAACCGCGAGAGCCCCGCCACGACGCTTAACTTGACAACATTGCGGCCGTCTTAATCGCTATTTGTTCTATTTATCTCTTCTATTCTAGAGGTCATAGTCATAGGGTGGGAGTTTAGAGTTCAGAGTCAAGCACCCCCGGTTTCAGAGGTATCCTAACAGGGAGGTATCATAGATGAAAATCTTTCAGTAGTCCGAGTCGGGACAGAAAAGTGAGCAGAATGCTTTCCTTACTACTACAGCTTAAACGTAGCAGATAGTATACTGTCCTGAAGGTGGTAGCCTGCGCTAATCAAGCACCTTAAAGCGAGCCGTGGGTTTTGCTGCCAGGAACGGGTGTCACAAAGCAGCTGCTCGACAGACGGTTTGGGCAGCAGCTGCGCGTTTCAACATGAGTTTGCCCACTGAGCCGGTCTACAGTAAACCCCATAAAGTTGGAAACCGGATTAAGGCCAAATAGTGCTGGGATTCCTTATACATTGCTCTTTAGGATTGAGGCTATTGGGTTTCCATCTTTTGGGCTTCTACTGTAAGTTGAGTCTTTGGTTTAGCACCGTTTAAGACCAGGGTCGCCGAAGCCATGTGAATTTGAGACTCTTCCCAAGCATCCAACCTCCAACGCTTCGAGTCCCAAACCTGAGATCCGACTTCCCAAGACACTGAATGCGAATAGAGGGCTTTGAGAATATGTCTGATAACCTCTCCTTCTCATCATTATATTCATATACTATACACACGTAAGCACAGAATGTGAGGATACATATGTATATATATATATATGTATATATATATATGTATATATATATATATATATATATATATTGTTTTTTGTTCCATGTACGTTCTGCAATACCCCTCATCCTTTCCCAACTAGGCTCTTATTTCGAGCACCTGAGCCTTGCCATGTCCCTAAAGCCCAAAAGGCTTCCTTTCAAGGCTACCTTTAAGGTGGGACCTTCTCATAGAACTCTACAAAAGGAACTCCAGAAAGTTGGAATATGGATTACTGGTAGGATCCCCTATAATTTGCCTTAAAGGGGTTACGATAATGATATTCCAACTTTCTGGCTTCTACTATAGTACCCTTGAAGGGCTTCCTCTTTAAAGTTCGTCGCCCTGCAACACGTCCTCAGCCCACCAACATGAACTCCCAACCCTGCGCCCCTTTCGCGCTGGACCTTGCAACTAGGACTGTACTCCGTTTATCGCAGGGGTAGGAACCAGGATTTTCGAAGACGGTCTGACAACTGAGGATTTAGGTGCACTCTTCTTATCCAGACCCTGTGCACCCCAAAACCTGCAGTAGCAACCGCAACCACCCACCAAAATGCCTATGACGCCTTACCGGGCCCACGTATCATTTCGTACACCGTTCGATGACCTTTCTATATCGAGCACGCGATATCATAGGGACTTTGCCACAAACGAAGCCTCAATTCCTAAACGCTACGCCCTACATAAACCTCTAAACCCCTGCACCCCTAAACCCTTAATCCTACCTTCAAAGCCTATTGACCCTGGATTCGGCCAGGACTTCAAGGGCTTCAATGCCGTTGGGCAGTTCAAGTTTGCGCCGGGCTTGGGTGTATTTTGCGTGCCTGCGATTTCATAGCAGGGCTTCGTGTTCAGGGTTTAGGGTGTTAGGGCTTAGGGTTTAGTGGGGCAGAAGAGCCTGAACGTTCTTAGCTGTTAATTGAGTGTTGTCGCTGCGTTCAGTCCAGCTGTGACTGTAACGGTCTTGTGTTTTTTGTGTGGCAGGGGAGTCCGATGCCATGAAGATACAGGAAGCAAAGTCACGGCGACGATTTTAGGCTTCGGCCTTCCTTCCGGAGGAAGAAATCGTATGTGGGGCTGCGAGGCTCAAGAGGTTCGTGTGCATTAGTTACTATAAGGCCCTGAATATTTACTTATAATATTTTGGGGAGTCCCATCATAGTCATTGTATAATCGGCCCCAAACCCTATCCTAATTATTCTTTTCGGCCCCTATATTCGCTGCCGGCGTTCAAGAGGATTGGCACCGCTTGATCACTGTCTGTTCGCACCTTCATCTGAGCTGCCATGTAAGGGTTTCGAAGCACATGTGCACGGTTATTGCTATGTGCCGGCGCAAGAAACACCGAACCCAGAGGCTCCCCCGAAGGCAACACATCTTCATACAGAGGTCTTTGATTACCGCAGTACACTGCGTCTCTTTTATCTTTTGCCATGGTGGTCCCTGCCCAGGCTCCAAGCAACCCGTAGGTTGCCCTTCACCAAGCAACCTAAAGCTCTGATCTTTGATCGCAGATCACGCTTAATCCTCCTGTGACCAGCTGATCTCTGGCCCGCTGATCCTCTGAACCGCAAAGCCTGAACCACGAGACTCCAAATCTTGCAGGTCAGCTTAAGGGCTCCGCTTCGCGGCCCTTCGAAACCCTGTAAAACTAACACCGCGGCACCAAGTAGACAAAGTTTCCTCCCATGTAAGCCCGGGGTTCTCTCCAACCGTCAAGATCTCTCTAGTCCCTCATTAACCCTCATCGTTCAAAGACCTATATGGCGGGACATCTTTGGTGCCTATAAGCGCTCACCCCATAGCTTCAAAGTTGTCGGTACAATTCGAATATCCCTCAACCCTACCTCCTTAGAGCCATGGCCCCAGCCCTGCGGCTGTCCTACCTGCCTTTCCGGGCCATGGCCGAGACGACGCGCTTCATGCGCCCTGGCTTGGAGTTTAGGTTTCAGGGCTCTGGGTTCAGGGTTTAGCGTTCTTGGTCAAGAGGCCTCAAAGCAGTTCTGCGACGAGCGACATTAAGAAAATGCCCTTGTCGTCGCATTATACTTACTGCTTCATGCACCTTGCAGAGCTGCACTTCAGGGTTTAGGTTTTCTTGTTTAGCGTTCAGGGTCTATGGGCTAGGATGCAGGGGTTGTAGGGTGTTGGGTTTATTCGGTAGGATTTAGACTAGACTGATTAATATAGGGTCCTTAAAAAATAGAGTTTGGGGGCCCAGTATACTTTAAGTAAAACAAGGAACCCCAAAAATAGTATTGGTACTTATTTAGGCCCCTATACGCGAGGCTTCTGGGAGTGTTGGGGCTTCGGGCGTCTTGTCAAGCCACCAGAAGGCCATCGTATGGCATTGCAGCGGTCTGAATATCATTTAGGAAGAAGGTCCCATGGTTGTCATAGTCTCTGTATAGATATAGTCGAGCATACTCCGACAACTATAGTCTGATTACGGGCCATTCTGAGATTCTAGGCCGCATTTCCGTGCAATCATACTGCATTATGTTGAGTAGTTGGAGCTTATGTCGGCCGCGGCCAAGCATCGCATGCCAGAGCATGGAGCTGAGCTCCTCCGGTCCGTAGCAGGTCTCGGCTTGTGTGTGCCGAATATAAGGGCCTTAATAGTTACTATATTGTTTTCGGGGGGTTCCTTATTATACTTGTAGTAGAATGGGTCCCGAAACCCTTCATTAAGGCCCATATTACGGCATCCTACTTCTTGTAAAGTGCATCCTCGTTTGGCGCGACAAGTATTGATACCGTGCGGGAGCACGTTGGGGGAAGTTGCCCGTGTTGGTGGACACACAATCAGATATCTGAAACATTACGAACTGCCTGCCGCCCAAAGCTCGGAAGTTTACCGGTGAGTTTCAGGAGTGTCACAAGCATAGGGCTTGGGCGCATATGGATAACCATGGAGCCTTCCGCAGCGCTGAGCAAAATGGCTACTAACACCGCAACACGAACCTGGGAGCTTTTAGCAAGATGGATGGATGCACGGATAAGCAAAGTGAGATGTAACGGTTATCTTTCGTGTAAGAATCGACAAGGTCTCCTACAGGGCTTGCACCAGGACCCAAACCCCAGGCAGTAGGCCCCCAGCCCCAATCTAAGCCTACGGAGCCTGCCACCATTACTGAGATATTCACAACGCTCGCAAATGTGGTTCGATCCTATGACCAAGGCTACGGTACGGCGGAATCAGCTATGTGGATGAGGCAGGAGACGCAGAAAAAGGGGTTCGAGGAATCCTTACGCCATTTCGGAAGGTCTTCATGCAGTTTTGGGGGGTGGGTATATACGATTTTGAAAGGTCTTCATAGAGTCTTGGGGCGGGTATATGATCACCCCGTTTAGAAAACGGCTTTGAGAACTAATTACACCAGCGGGTGTTTAATTTCCAGCGATCGGAAATCCCGGCACCAACCCTCCATATATACATATGTAGACATAAGTATATAGGTATATACACACATACATATACCCTAGACATACATATACGCAGTCTTTGAGCTACATGCACATGCAGCCTTTAATTGAATGGACAGGGGGGCTGCGGCCACCATGGACACCATGCCCTGAAAGCTAGAAAGGCGAGAGAGCGAGAGAGAGTGAGAGAGAGAGAGAGAGAGCGAGAGAGGCACAGAGAAACGGGGAGAGAGAGAGAGAGAGAGACAGAGACATGGGGAGAGAGAGAGAGAGAGAGAGAGAGAGAGAGAGAGAGAGAGAGAGAGAAAGGAAGAGAGAGAGAGAGAGAGAGAGAGAGAGAGAGAGAGAGAGAGAGAGAGAGAGAGAGAGAGAGAGAGAGAGAGAGAGAGAGAGAGAGAGGGAGAGAGAGGGGGCGATAGAGAGAGAGAGAGAGGGGGACATAAATCTAAATAAATAAAGCAACATATGTAGATATATACGTGGAATAGACAGGAACCTTACAATTTGCTTCCAGCCCGGGACCTTTACTTTCCTCAAATACTCCAGGAACAAGAAATCCTGCTCTCAATGTACTACATGGATCGCATAAACTCTGCACCGGCGCACTAAACTGGGATTGAAGTCTGAGGGTTTAGGGGTTGGTAAGGGTCCGAAATGACGACTTCCACCCTGCGAACCGACACGGAAACGTTCTCGGCAGGTCGTTTGGGGCCGGGTCTTCAGCGACCGCCGTGCTCAAGGCGATCGGATGGTTCGTGGTAATTAGTGATTTTCGGATCTAAGAAATGTGGCTTTCTTGGTCCATCCCCTTCGCCGGACGGGGGTACTTCGATGCATTGTCTACCTCGGACATCCCCTCGCGTTTGTCCGTGTCTTTCCATCTTCAGCTTTGTACTTACGGTTATGTTTCGGTATCGCATATCGTTGCTTACGTGCTTCTTTAATGCAAATGGTGTCTCTGCAAGGCTCAGCGCGGCAGCAGCTTGCATCTGAGTCTGGAAATAGAGCCACCCAACAAAGCCATACTACATGTATGCATACATATATATATATATATATATAAACATGTATACACACGTCCTTTACGTAGTATTAGCATTTGTTTGTCATTGGTTTATCCCTGATGTATGAATGTACTTGTACATGTATGTATTTGTTGATTTATATACGGTTTGAGAGCTGCTTTTGTGCCGATCCTTAAGGAGCAGCCAAGCGAAGCTGAAATCCCTTCGTAAGCGCCTCTGTTCACTATCCTACCGCAGCCCAAAGCTTGCTCCTCTTCTTGTCTCAGGCGAGTATCCCTTTGACAAGGTGCCCGTGCTCTACATTGATGGCCGGGTCGTTGCCCAAAGCACCCGAGCAGCAATTTCAGAGGGTTTGGGGTCATGGGGTTTTAGGGGTATTAGGGACTGAGGGCTTTCGGGCTTAGGGTTTAGGGTTTAGGGTTTAGGGTTTAGGGTTTAGGGTTTAGGGTTTTTTGGGGTGTACAGGGTTCAGAGCTCAGGGTTGCGGGTTGCGGGCATGTGTTCGCCGCCACGTTTCTGGCCTTGGATTCTTCGGTGTTTCGAGTCAAAGTTCCAAAAAAGCTAGTGTGGGTTAGTGTAGGTTGACCTGTAGTCTTCATTGTAGTTCCTTTTTTTGGTTTAACCAATTATATATCAAGGATCCTATAAGGTAACCCCAAAAAGGAACTACAATGGAGACTATAGGTGAACCTAAAGCCTGAAACCTCCAAAATCCTGTAAGAAATCTATTTGGGAGTTTCCCCCCAAAACAAGGGACCCTAAGATAGTACCCTAATGAGTAGGATCCTTATGGGTTTAAGGTCTGGGGGATGCCAAGACTGGGCCTAGATCCTACCTTAGATCTTTTGTGAACATGCATCCTGTTAGTGCCCCGGAGGTATTCAAGTAAGCCAATGTCTGGGAGCCCAAGCCCACATGAACATACAATTATTCAAAATTACAAGGCATCTTAAACTACCAAACCGTACTTTTTTTGTAGGCTCTTACTATAAGCCCTAATGGAATTTATAGGGACCCTGGAAAAAAGTAGGTTTTGGTGAGTTAAGGTAGGGAAATTACCTTAGCACATCTATATCTAGGTGCTGTTGTGGAGCTCCCTAAACCCGAAACCCTGGACCCTAAACCCTTCTAAAGAGTGGTCCTGTCCGGAAGTCGGCTGTTAGGGTTTAGGATTTAGGGTGTTGGCACCCGAAGGTGTTGAAGGTTTCTTTGGCGCAGGGTCCGTGATCTGCTTGGCACATTCATTAAACGGTTGTTGTGGGGTCTAGAGCCAAGAGTCTGGGTGCCGTACAGAAGTTGATCTGCATCCACAGCCGGGTTATGTGCCCGTACACTCCATACACTGAACGTCGGAGCTGCAATGAAAGAGGGCGTCAAATTTTGGGATGCAGGCTTTGATTGCTGGAAGCTTCCTCCTTTCATCATGCTCCTTCATCATCAGTGGAATTCGCGGTTGAGGGTTTTGGAGAGCCAGGTGGCTCCATTGCCCGCTATGCTGCCAAGCTCGCTAGATGCTCTTTGTTTGCATAAGTTGATCGGCTCTAAAGCCTAATTTAAACCCTAAACAGGAAAGTGCGGAACTTGAGTGATTTGTTTGCTCCAGCTACTGTTAAGGGATTTTTGCTGTTCTGGGCTCACACATACAAAGCCGCGTCGCATTCCCTTGTGGTAGATGCCGGAAGTTTACTGTATCTTCTGCACCCTGACATCCATGTCACGCGGAGGTATTCCCTGTATCCTTCACTCTCAACATTGGTGATGTATTCGTGGCTAAGCTTGGCAGGCGATGAGCACTTAAACACACCCACATCTACAGGCGGAGCCTTACCCGGAATGCTAGGGCGCAGAGCTCTCGTGCGAGGATTGGAGGAGGATTGTTTGGGTTCAGGGTGGCATGTGGTCTGCTGTCCACGAGGCTATCCGACTGATCCTGCGGCTTGCGCAGCCAGCGATGCAATATTCGAGATGGCACAGGTCTGCGATCGGGATGGCATTCAAGCTTTGAGTTCAGCAATAGTCAGTAGTTCAAGGACACACGATTGAGAAGGCAGATGATGGCAGTGTTCCTAGCAGCACGACCACTCACTACTGTTAATTACTACTGGTGCTGCTGCCACTACCACTACCACTACCACTACCACTACCACTACCACTACCACTACCACTACCACTACCACTGCCACTGCCACTGCCACTGCCACTGCCACTACCACTACCACTACCACTACCACTATCACTACCACTAGCATTACCACTACCACTACCACTACCACTACCACTACCACTACCACTACCACTGCTACTACCACTACTGCTACTACTACTTCTACTTCTTCTACCTTTTTTTACTGCTAGTGCTACTGCTCCGGCTCCTGCTGCCACTGCGACTGCCACTGCCCCCGCCCCTGCCCCTGCCACTACTGCCGGTGGCGGTGGTGGTAGCAGCGGTAGGAGGAGGAGGAGGAGGAGGAGGAGGAAGAGGGGGAGGAGGAGAAGCAGTAGAGCGTGTGTGCATCATCGTCGTCATCAACCCGTGCTTTGACATGCTTTGACTGTAGTCTCTGTCGGGTATCTTGGCGTGGCAGGAGAGAGCTAGACAGAGACAGACAGAGAGAGAGAGAGAGAGAGAGAGAGAGAGAGACAGAGAGAGAGAGAGAGAGACAGAGAGAGTGTGTGTGTGTGTGTGTGTGTGTGTGTCGAAGCTTGAAACTTTGCCTTCACTGGCGCTGCAGGTTCTACAGACTTAGGCCTATAGCCCTCAGCCTCCCTTCGTCTCGGAGTCACGAGCCGGGACAGGGCCCAAGATCAGGGTGAAGGTATCCTTTAGATGAACCCTTAAGGGAACCCTAAGCCCTTTAAAGGAGCCCCAAGGATCTTGCAATTGGAGCTTAGCTTAGGCTCTGCCAGACTCGGTTTCGCACGAAACGCAGGTCCCTAGGTGTGTGTCGAAGGCCAACGCACGCAGATTCTACCGAAGGCAATCTCAATCTCTAGCTTGTTTTCGAATCTTACCATGTCATCCCCGCGCGGAGAAGAAACAGAGATGTGTTCCTTCATGCGGTATCCGAGGCGTGATAAGCAGTCACATTGATGGGACTTCCCTACTGCCTCGTCTGCCTGCTGGAACCATGCTGTGTAGTTACGAGCAACAGCTCGGGACCTCAGAGATTTGAAAACCGCAGCACCTGATTGGCGAAAGGAGCTTTGTACCATCAACCCGATGATCAACTGCTACACCGGCAGGGAATTTGCGCAGGTTGGACGGTGCCTTATGTGTGTATCTTTGGATGCCAATCACCGAATTGGCTAAGCGAGACTTGAGACCATGGTTCAGGATCTTTGTATGCCATGTTCAGGCTCCAACATACGGCAGGCACCGCCCCCACACGATCCTATCTTGCACGACCGGTATCTTAAATTCACAACACAAGATGCTAGCTCCGAAACAACCGCACCTAGGCATCGACCCCAAGAACGTCTAAGGAAAGGACCTTCCCTAAAACTAAGGCTCGGATCCGATGGGGCCCGTGCTCAAGAAACTACAAACTGCCCTTGCTTTGCAGACATGCCCGTACGAGGTTGATGTCTTTTGACTTGCCGGGGGAACGACCACCCTAAACCCTAAACCCTAAACCCTAAACCCTAAACCCTAAACCCTAAACCCTAAACCCTAAACCCTAAACCCTAAACCGGACCGCCTCCCACAACCCACCTACCTGTTCCTTTTGAGGACTGCTGCCTTTGGGCTAAGCCTATGCAGCTAGGACCACAGCCGGAAGTGACACATGAACTTACTCGGTTTAGGGTTTAGGGTTTAGGGTTTAGGGTTTAGGGTTTAGGGTTTAGGGTTTAGGGTTTAGGGTTTAGGGTGTCGGAGTTATACGAGAGAAGGAGTTCCGAGCAGGGTAAATGGGTGGTTGTCAAGATTAGGGTCCCCTTTTTTGGGTCCTTAATGGAATACGGCAACTAATATTTAAGGGTACCAAAAAGGGACCCTCATTTTGACAGCCACCCAAATGAAATCCGCATCCTCAACTCTGGACTCCTGGATCCGAAATCCTAAGCCCGGAATCCCCAAAGGGTCCAAAGTACTTCTATAGTAGAATGTAGGGTTTCTATATTGGGGATTATTATTCTGGTTTGGGGAAGTATCCCCCATGACAGTACATAGGACCCTTTGGGATCTTGAGCCCTAAGCCATAGACCCCTTACGCAGTCGGCCGGTGCAGGGTTGAGGGCCAAGGGTTTTGGGTTGAGGGAATTTCACACCCAATGTTCTTTAATTGTGGAGAGGTGGGTTGTGTGTCGCCTCACAGATAAGCCTGATAGGCTTCGCCTTCTGTCGAGTTATGTCATGCGGCTCATTTAATGATCAGGGTGTACAACTTTCCATACATCATATACATAGATGAGTGTGGCACGGTAGAACATGTCCTAAAATGTCTCTGCACTGACAGAGGTGGGAGCTCCGATCTAGATGCAGGGTCTGGGGCCTATGATTATGGCCTGGGGTTTAGGAACCCATGATCCCTGAAACCCTAGCACCCTAAACCCCAAATCCTCCTAATTTTAACGCTACGCCGCCCGCCTCGGCTGTGTAGCGGCAGGGCGAGGGGGCAGTCGATGTTTTTCAATGCTAGGGCGGCCTGTCCAACCCCACCCTTGGACGGTTGAGAACTGGTACAAGGGGGGTGGGGGAGGGGGGGGCCTGGGAGGGGGGGGGGAGGCCGACAAATCAGGTAAAATGAGGGGAAGCCGGGCAAGGGGGTGGCAAACGAACGCAAAAAGCGGCAGGGAGGAGGGTACCTGAGGTAATCGCCTCTGGCCTCAGCGGACTTGAGCTCGGAATATCGTTTACAGCTTGCAGAAATAGCCAGAAAACACTTCCTGGCCGGAGGTTAAGCACTGGTATTTCTCGACGTTGCCACGGAGCCCTGCTTGATTTCATTCGTTGTCAGTGGCTTGCTAAGGACCCTGAACTATGGGAATTATGGTATATTCCTTACAACGGTGCTGTAGGATTTTGTCCATCAGCAGTAACTCTGGATCCTTGGGTTTGATGTAAGCGTCTTGGGAAGACCCATATTACGGAGTGTAATTGGCGCTCATAGGGTTTAGGAGTGTAGGTTTTAGGCTTTAAGGGTTTGGGACTGTTGGTGTTTCGGGCGGGTGTAGGGTTTCGAAAAGTGCCGCATCGTCCGAAGAGTCCTTTCATCTTCCGTCCCCTTTTTTAAACTTCGAGCTGGGCATACGAAACCCGAAGCATCGTAGTGTTCTGGGCTTCGGCAGCCTCTGGGTCAGACGGAGAGGACATCACCACCTCAAAATGGGAGTTTCAGGGAAATCAGGGAGGCTGTAGTATAAAACCGATCTATTCGAAGGATCCCCACTATCAATTTCAGTCCTGGCACTCCGAGCCCAGTAGCCCGACTTTGAATCCCGAGACTAGAGCGCGTTCGGCCCAGCCTTAACCCCGAAATCCGAAACCCTCAACCAATGATGTAAGTTTAGGCAAAAGACAAAGACAAACTAATGTCCCTTAGACCTTCGACCAGCAGGACTCCCCAAGTACTTTGTATTGTCCTTGATCATACTTAGGCTATCACAGAGGGTAGTTGGGCAATCTAGGCAAGGACCTCGTCCAATCTTCCGAGGCATCTTGCCAACATCGAGCGCTTGTTGAAGGATGACTTCTTCGGGGGCGCGTCCCCCAGTCATGCACCTTCGGCGCACAGAGCTTTTGTGGGATCTCTGGGCATGTTTGCTGAAGGACAGCAGCACCTAGCTAGCTTTGTTTCTCTGCGACAACCACTTGACACCTGAGGATCCACCACCCCTGTTAGTTAGTTCATGGAGTTTGACGAAATCCATCAAATACCTGGGCCACAGCATGGACTCCTCGTTATTGCTAGTTCGGCTCCCCGATGAAGGTTTGTATTCCCGACAGTCCCTCTTCCAGTAAGCGTGGAATGATCGACACACGATTTCGTACAGGCTGCTCGCTTGCAGAGGTTTAGACTGTAAGGTGTAGGGTTTTATCACAAACCCTGAGCCCTCAACTCTCCGCAGGATGGAGTTCGAGCTTCGAATGTCGCAGTGGGTTTGCCTGTCAATTCAAACGTGTAAGTGCAGTCAAGCCTTGATCTATTCATGACTTCGGCAGTAAGCCTGCGCCTAAGCGCCTTAAGCTTCGCGGTTTAAATCCAAGCTCCGGTAATCCCCTAAGGCACTCTTGATCATCCCCCCAGGCAGATTTCAACGTCTACCACCACCTTGCGAATGCCAGGCCTTGAAGCCGTCGGAGCGGCTTTGGAGGGGCCCCCATACCGCAAGCCTTGAGTGCCTGAACCCTGAATCTACTTATAGTCTCCATTGTAGTTCCTTTTGGGGGTTACCTTATAGGATCCTTAATATATAATCGGTTTAACCAAGAAAAGAAACTACAATGGAGACTATAGGTATTATGTTATTATGTAAGTGCCAGAATCCCTAGATCGAGCTACCCCTAAGCCCTTTTGGAGCTGTGCCTTTCCTGGGCTGCTTGTGGCTCACGCGACAAAGCCTTCGGACTATCCTCCACTACCTCGGCGGTTTAGGGTTTAAGGTTTTCAGGGTTTAGTGGGTTTAGTGGGTTTAGTGGGTTTAGTGGGTTTAGTGGGTTTAGGGTTGGAGCGGGACAGGGAGTGCCGTTCAATTGGAGACTTGCTGGCCGACATGTGGTTGATCTTGCCACAATTCCAAGAGGACAAGAGGGAAGCAAAAGGGATCCCAGACCCTCAACCAAACCACGAAGCCGTAAACCCCTGAACCCTAAACCCTAAACCCTAAAGCCTAAACCCTAAACCCTAAACCCTAAACCCTAAACCCCTAAACCATAAACCCTAAACCCTAAGCCATACCCTTTCTCCCTAAACCTTAAAAGCCCAAAGTCCCTCCGGTACGGCCTTCGAGCTCTGAAGCTTTGGGCCCCATTTCAATGAGCAGACGGACATGTTTGAATTAGCCAAAACTTTGGGCTAAGCAGATTTAGGGTTTAGGGTTGGGCCCCAAAGCGAAACCGTAAACCCACCCGAAAATCCTGAAACCTAGCTCGAAACTTTGACCCGTATCCCCTATATCCTCAACTCAGACCTCTCTACCCGGTACCCTAAACCCCGAACCCGAAACCTGAGGGGCACTTAGAAATTACTTTTAATTTTTGGTTATTAAAAACCCTAAGAAACAGCTGAAATTATTATTTTTTGCTAGGGTTCTAAGTTCAGTATAGAAACCCCACAGGGCCCAAAGACCCGACTCCGGACGAGGCTGGTGGAGCCCCAGTGCATCCCCGATGCCCTCGGTCTTTGGATGGAGAAGCCCGGGTTCATTTAGCACTGCGTTTGAATTAACGGTTTAGGGTTTAGGTTTACGGTTTTGGGTTTAGGGTTAGGAGTTTCGGGTTGAGGACATTTGGGGTTTAAGTTTAGAGAGGTGCAGGGTCTTCAGCGCCTCTTTGGATTTGGGGTTCCTTAGGGGTGCCTTTCGTTTGGCAGATAGCTCTGAAATTTTCGGTGCTGTAAGACAGCTGACACACAGATACGACCGACAAGGACAATGGACACACCCGCTACTGCGCACCCGATATATTGCTATTCCCAATGCCGGTGTTCGGTTTCGCATCGTTGTTTGTTGGTAACCATAATTTGTATTGACTCTAAGCTTAGCGCGTGAGGGTTCAAAGCTTTAGGTGGCTGGCTCCATGCTGAGGCGCTGGTAGCCGCTATCACGAGTAAGTATGATCGTAGTTGCGGTCATGCCATTCAGCACAATCATGCAATCTCATGCTCATCATGACCTCAGAACCCCAAACACGCCGCAATGACGGACATCTGTCCAGAGTCTCGAAACCTGCACAACTAACTGTAGAAGAGAGCAGCTACTGTAAGTAGAGAGAGAGAGAGAGAGAGAGAGAGAGAGAGAGAGAGAGACACAGATCACTGTACCTTTGTTCTAAGGGTAAAAGGAGGGACCCCCAATAAGGACCCCTAGTTATATACCCTTAATATAGCTATTATATACCCATCATATAGCCCATTGTAGGGTAGGCATCCCCATTAAGGGTCCCTCCTTTTCTCCTTTGATTTGAAGCACGGCAGCCCCCCAGACCTCAGCAACGAGTCCCACCGAGGAAGATGGAAGCTATACCATCCTTGCAAAGCTACCTGAAGGCCTTAGGGTCTGGGGAGTTTTTAGGGTTCGGGGTTCAGGGTTTTGGGTTCAGGGCTTAGGGGTTAGGGTTGAGGGTTTAGGGGTTGGGGTTCAGGGTTCAGGGTTTAGGGGTCAGGGTTCAGGGTTCAGGGTCTCGAGTTTGAGGGTTCAGGGTTTGACATGTAGGCGTGAGTGCCTTGCCCAGAGTCTTCCGGAGCATGTCCTATTGATAGCTCTTGTGAAAGCCCAGCCCAAAGGGTCCAAAGTAGCTTTATGGTGGTCTGTCGGGTTTCTATATTCGGAACTACTATTATGATCTAGGGAAGTATTCCCCATAACAGTACCTAGGACCCTTTGGGCAGGTAGAAGAAAGATTCCCTAGGAGCCCAGTTTGCCAGGTCGTCGGTTCCTGGGTCCTCACGCTTTCAGCGTAAACCTAAGAGCACCCCAATCATCCCCAAACGCTAACCCTATTCTGTTTGGGTAGTTGTCAAAATTATGGTCCCTTTTTGGGTACCCTAGGTAGTAGGTGCCGTACTATAACAGGGACCCAAAAAGGTACCATAATTTTGACAACCACCCATTTAATCCGGGCTCTTGAGGAGTCCTGGACGAAGATTGCTGGGGTTGTTTTTCGTCGTAGCCTGCGCATAGCCTACATCAGGGTTGAGAGCGGAGAGTATGCTGTTTCGCTCTAACTCCCAGATCATTCACGAACTATCATGAGGATTCCCTAAAGGGTCCATGTGCCCAAATAGTCAAGGCTTAGACCTTAAACCTCAAAGTACCTGCAAAGGGGGTTACTTTCCGCACGTCGAAAACCCTGCCGGGAGGTACGACAAATTGCTGTTTTCAAGATTAGGTCCCATAACTATTGGGGCATACGCTACTATGCTTGTAGGGTTTGAGCTAGGGCAGCAAAGCCACGTCCTTAGCCCCTTTGGGCGAAGAAGTGAAGTTCCAGGCCCGACGAACAGAGCTACCCTTAGGCTCCAAAGCCCCTTACCTTATCGCGAGTGCAGGAGAAAGGGGCCATTGCATTCAAAAAATACATCCGAATGCCCTAAGCCCGAACCGGCCACTTCAGCACCCCCAATGTTGCATGTGAAGGAGCGGCCCGAACTTGTTGGCACCTTGGAGCTGATAATAAGAGCAATTTCAGGGTTCACAGGTTTAGGGTTCAAAGGGTTAGTGTTTGGGGCAAGAGGTGCCGTTTTTCAATGAGGCATATTTGAGGTGTTTGTTTGAAATGGAGGGAGTTCCGGATGACTGTTGACCCTTGTGCACCAAGCAACTATCTTCTGTTGACAAAGCTATTAGATTTCAAACGGCACAGGCGAAATCCTTATGTCCTTGTAGTCCTTCGTCCTCATGTGCGTAAAGCAGCAGATTGTACCCCGCCCCCCAAACAATAGCTCTGCTTTTTCAACTTTTCAATCTAATACGACTCCTGCGTTAAGCCCTGCTCATACCACCGGGTTGCACCTTCCGCAGCTTCTCGCCGAAACCCCGTAGTGCTCGAGGCCCCGAGATCCTTGAGTTTCAAATGCCTCTAGAAGAGATCCGACCCGCAAGACAGGTAGCAAAGCCTTTATTTATAGAATGCCTTATAGAACCGTCACAAAACCCTCATATATATACATATATATATACATATGTATGTATATATATATACATATACATATACAGATCTCTCTCTCTCTCTCTCTCTCTATATATATATATATATATATATATATGTATGTATATATAGGCCTTATAGAGCCTACAGAAGACGAGGATCCGAAGTCCTAAGCGAGGCATCGGCGAGGATCCTGGTCTCGTCGACAAGGCTCAAGACGCGTGCAGAAGGGAGGAGAAGCAACGTCTATGCTTCTTATAAGAAGCGGTTTAGGTTTTAGGGTTAAAACCCTAAACCCTAAACCCGAAACCCTAAACCATAAGTATGCCTTTAAGCACAGAATTAGGGTTTATAGGGTTTAGGGTTTAGGGTTTAGAGGGTTTAGGGTAATAAGTATGCCTTTAAGCGCTTCTTACAATAAGTACCTGGACCCCAAAAGTATGTAGAATAATAGTCTTGTTATAGGATTTGGGCCATTATTTGACCTACTTGTTGGGGGTCTAGCTATGCCTTTAAGCACAGAAAAGGAATGTTCGAAATCTATGCCTGTGCATGCCGTTAAACACCGAAAAAGTATGAAGATGTGTAAGGTAACTATACATGAAGTCTAAGTAGAGCTCCGGAACTCTAGGCTAGAAGCCACATCATCGAGTTGCATCCATGTTATGAAGACCTCTTGAGCAGCGATTTCCTATCTTGGGACAAGAGCAGAAGACCGTAAACTCGAACCTTCATGCTGCGCTCTGTTGAAGTTGTCGCAGACCATGCCATTGCTACCCCTCTGAACTAAGTTGTGACACTGCTATTCATGGTGCTGCAGACGCGGGGTCTGCTGCCGTTGGCATGTAACAGCTGAATGAGGCATCACGTGTGATCAGATTGTTGTTGTGAACTGGGAAGCTTTGCAGGAGTTTCCGACAGGATCCATTACTGGTACTGCGAACCAAAGCCCTGAACCCCAAGCCGTATGCAATTGCTCTCCTCTGCTACTTTGGCATTCAAGGCCGGTCGATTTCTTGCCCAACGCCACCCTGAGGGTCGTTGCCTCCTCGTGGAGGGCCGTTTCGTCTTCGACGAGGAGTGAGATGTAAAGCTTCAACAAGTCTAAGTGTATCTTTTGGTTTAAGATCTTGGGCACTCAGGGTGCGGGATGTAGTCATGAGTTAGGCTTCAAGCTTTAAGAAACTCACAAGACTTGAGTTATCAGGGTGAGGAATCTAGGGCTTGGGGCAGTTGAGGTTGGCACACTACTGTCTCGTATCTTGACGACCCTAGCAGCACTGCAGCGCAGGCGCAAAAGATCTCCATGCCAGTGTTCTGGGGTCTTACAATGGCTACCATGAGAGTGGGGGTTTAGGATTTTCAACCCAGAACTTAGAGAGCCCTTTGCCCCAAGTAAACCGTAAAGCACTGCAGCCCTAAGTCGAAAAAATTGTTCAAAGCCGTAAGCCCAATACTAAAACCCTAAACCCTGAACCCTCAAGCCTCTTACCTTCACCCAAAATGACCTACCTTCGCAAGGACTAAAGAAGAAATCAGAACAATAGTAACAACGGTAATAATGCTAGTAACCACTATGATAATCACAGTAATACTTTAGTAGTAAGAACAGTAATAATGCTAGTAATCACAATGATAATCACAAATCACAATGATAATCACAGTTATATATTTATCGTAGTAACAACAGTAACAACGCTAGTAATCACAATGATATTCAGATATTCACAGTATTATTTACAATAGTAACAACAGTAGTAATGCTAGTAACCACAATGATAATCACAAACCACAATGATAATCACAGAAATGTAATCATAGTAGAAACAACAGTATTACTGCTAGTAATCACAGTGATAATCACTGTAATATTTATAGTAGTAACAACAGTAGTAATGCTAGTAATCACAATGATAATCACAGTACTATTTATAGTAGTAAGATTTGTTTTTAATGTAGTAACTAGTCACTAGTCGATCGATGGCTTTTTTGAGGCTCTGAACTAAGCGGGTTCTGCTCAGGCAGACAGTTGGTCCATGCCTCTCAGAGGTGGCGTAAATAGCGTCAGAAGTCGATTTGGATGTTAGGTATATATGTTCGTTCAGTGTGTTGTGGTTTTAGGTTTCATGGTTTAGGGTAGTGGAGGATTGTTCAGTGTCCGTGTTCAGGCTTTAGGGGATTTAAGCGAGTCACCCCACTCAAGAAGCACTGTTCTCCCAATTGCAAGATTTTTACCAAATCCCAACACCTCGGCTGCAAAAGGGTTCTGATAGCATGGCAGAGTGGTTCTTAGCTTTGAGGTCTTTAGCGTAGACTAGGGTTTGGCGTTTTCCGGTTGCAACTAGGGCTCAGTAAGGGGTATGATATCGACGCAGGCTATAGGTAGTATTGAGACTATCGATTAGTTTTTTGTTTATGTATTTTTATTTTTCCTCACATCCTGAATCCTTTCCCTGTTATTCAGACCAGTAGTGCCTTCAGGATTCATGTTCGTTGTGCCTGCTCGGCTTCTCCAAGGTGGTTTGCGCTCTTGCGCCGGACAACATCCACATGACGCACTACGAGCTTACGGTGCCGTGGCGGTAAAGTTATGGAGAGTAGACAAGACGTGGAAACAAAGGCAGCTAGAATCACAACTTTGGTGCACCAAGAAAGTACAGGTAACATGATTTTCCCTGAAGCCAAGCCCCAGTTGGTAGTCCCACAGGGTCTGTATAAGCAGCTACCCACTTACCAATGTAGTTTCACAGGAACTGCACCAAAGCATCCACCGGTCATGTTGGCCTAAGTCGCTTCGTCGTTATCCTTCCCGGGGCAGGGGTTTAGGAGCCCGGAAATCCCCAAACTGTAAACCCCAAAACCCAAAGCCCTAAACCAGAGACCCTAAAAACCCTGCATTCTGAAGCGAACTAGAACGCAAGGAAGATACCACACTGCGAAGCCCTTGAGAACCACAGTTTTTCCTTGAAAGGGACCAGGAACCTCACCAATACCGGATGAGGAGTTACCTTCAATTCTTTTGGGTGCACGTAGCTGTATATACTGTAATATACCCCCCAACCCTGTTCAACTTCTGAAGGCCCCCCTGAGTTAAACAACCCCACCTGAGCCTCTCAGGTCATAGTGAAGCCCATCTACAGCGTTAAGCTTGAGTCGCTCAAGGTGAACGACAAAGGCAACTTAACTCGGGAGCCAGGGCATTAGGGCTCACGGTTCAGGGCTTTAGGGTTGTTTAGGGTTTAGGGTTTCGGGCTTTAGGGTTCAGAGTTCAGGGCTTTGCGGCTCCGGGCTCAGAGGAGGTGAAAGACTTCTGCCCCCTCAAAAAGAGGACTGCAGTATGGGTTTCGGCTAAGTGGGCATTGTGCTGCGGTGCACCCGAGCCCGATCTCGAACCATGGCATGCTCAGAACTGTGGGGTTTGGAGCTTTTTGGGTTTGTAGGATTCAGGAGGTTTAGACTGAGCCCTCAACTCAAAACTCCAAAGGCCTAACATGCACCTTAAGCCGTGCTCTGAATAGGTGGTTGCAAGTGGCACGATATCGAGTAGCCCTCGCTGCAGCAGCAGCGGCTGCTGCTGCAAGACCAGGAGCGGCAGCTGCAAGACCAGCAAGCGCAGCGAACTGCGCTCGAGCAGCAGACGGCTCAGATGGCGCAGCAGGCAGAAGACCAGGCTAGGCATCGTCGTTGCCCGTCCCGAAGCCGCAGTTGATGCAGAGGCTCCACCTGTACATCGTCCACGCACAGCAGGAGGGCGCACGCTTGCTCAAACGGCGTTGTGCTCCATCTCCCAAACCCAAAGGGTCCTATGTATTGTTATGGGGGATACTTCCCCAAATCATAATAATAATCCCCAATATAGAAACCCTACATTCTACTATAGAAGTACTTTGGACCCTTTGGGAAAGAGATGTCCGAGCCTGCCGGCTTTCTGCAGAGCCATCAAGGAGTTGATCGAAGAAGTTTCGGCTTGCAATCTTCTGACGGAGGTAAAGGGAACTCCAGAAAGTTGGAATAATATACCTTAAAGGGGTTACAATAATGATATTCCAACTTTCTGGCTTCTACTGTAATCACATAAATGGGTCTACAAGGATAGTCGTAGCGTACGTTAGTATTTCGGGGAGCATGTGACTACTATCAGGCACTTGGACGCTTAGGGACGACGTATGATTCAGGCACAGATATGTTAAACCCTAACTCTAGACCCGAAAACCGAAACCCCAAACCCTTAAACCTAGACCTCGAACCCTAAACCGAGCATGTGATGTTACACGCAGGGTTTGGCGAAGGCTTGGGCCGGGTTCGGGCTGCGGCTTTCGTAAGCTCGGAGGTGGGGTACGAGAGAAAGAAACTAGGTTGGATTTTGGGGCATTTTTTATATTTTCCTTGTTCGGGTTTATAAGGGACACCCAGGAAAGGGCTTGACGGTGAGGGGCTATCTGCTCAATGAGCAGGCTCGGGATCAAAATCTAACAGGTGGAGCCACATGGGTCAATGATGCACTTCCTTTGTAACCCGGGCAGAAATAGAATATACCACCTGGACCGTGCTACGGTTTTGGGACCGCTGAGTTGGGGGCACCAAAACCCCAAAGCCATGAACTTCCTAATCTTACCTTTGGTTAGTAGGGAATGGAAGAATGGTAGTAGTAGTAGTAGTAGTAGTAGTAGTAGTAGTAGTAGTAGTAGTAGTAGTAGTAGTAGTAGTAGTACTAGTACTAGTACTAGTACTAGTACTAGTACTAGTACTAGTACTAGTACTAGTACGAGTACGAGTACGAGTACGATTACTAGTACTAGCAGTAGTAGTAGTAGTAGTAGTAGTAGTAGTAGCAGCAGTAGTAGTAGCAGCAGCAGCAGCAGTAGTGGTAGTAGTAGTAGTAGTAGATAATTGTACCCCATTCCTCCATTCCCTACTAACCAAAGGCAAGTAATCCCTGAACCCCGGAAAGCGCGTACCCTAACCCCCACCTACCATAAGCTTGCCAACACATAGGGGTTCTGTCGAGTTGTCGGATAGGTGTAGCTTCCTGGTTTCTCTGTTGGAACGACATTTATGCTTAGGGCAGGGCTTGGGGCTTAGGGTTTAGCGAATCATAAGCCCTAGGGTAGCATACCACCGCCTACTTTATCGCAGGGATACCAGGACACAGCAAAAAACACAGGTCAGGGAGTTGTAGACGTCGACCCTTAGGCACCCAAACTGGGATTTTAGTTCTCCTATTACTATAATGCAGATTTTCCTGATGGAATCCCTCTGCTTCAAGCCTGGAGCATGGAGGCCTTCAGATCGATACATCGAATACACCGGCAAAAGATGCTACCTTAGACTAGCTTGGGGCCTCGCATCCTAAGCCCTACAGCCCAAAAGCCCTAGGCCCTCATCCCCCCCCACGCCTAGTCCTAAGCCCTAGAAGAACGTGCAAACAGCTCTTTGAATCCAGAAAACCCAAGTTAGAGTTTGCAGGGCACAAGTTGGAGCCTGACTTCCACCCAGACGTCCAGTCGCGTCCTTACCGTGGTTCATAGCTTCTGCCAGCTGTAGGTTTGCGTCTACTTTCGGTTTTAGGGTTTGGGGTTCAGGGGTCATTATATCGGGGTGAGTACTATTGGGTCTTCATGCCGAAAAGCCTAGGTCGTTAAGGGCTGCAGTTGCAGAAGTTGTTTCCCAAGCTGCCCCACAAAGCCCGAAGCTCTGGACACGACCCATTGCGTGTATCGGGTTTTGCCGGTGGATTGCCTGGGTGGTGTAGGCTCTACGACATGAGTTCTCAGGCATCAGCCCTAGTTACACCACCTGCTAACATCATGGCGTAGAACCACCACCCAAAATGAGAGTAAGCGAGCCTGGACCCTAAACCCTAAACCCTAAACCCGACCCCAGCCTTATGAACCCAAAAGGCCCAAAGATGAACCCAAAAGGCCCAAAGCCCGAATCTCCCAGCTTGTGAACCTTTGTCATAGTTGGGTAACATTTTACATTCTTATGGGTACTTAAAACCCAATAAGGAATAAAAATGTATACATTTTTAATCCTATCCCAACAATGACCTAGGAACCCTGAACCCCGAAACTCCAAGCTGAA